TCTGTCCATAGAGTCGCAGTGTTTTATGACAGGCGTGGACTGAATAAAAAAAAACAATGCAATGCCTACTGAAATTTCAAAGGACATATTTGGCCTCTATATCTAGCTACGGTTTCACATATAACCCTTCTACTGACCAACCTTACTATGTTGCAGTACTTAAGGGACAATGAAGTTATGAATGCCTTGAATTTGCACGCTATGAACTGAGGACGCTCTAGTACTAACTGGAACTGCAGTCCACCTCTGCCATCTTCCGGTTCTTTCGGAACTAGCTGATATTACTCTTGCGCTCGGTATCCATGGAAACGACAAACCGGCAGATATTACAACCACTACTCTGCTTCTTGAGAAGCCGTCAGTTGTGCAGCTACCCAAGAACATTTTATGAAATGCGAAGGTTCATTACCGTGTTCACAATAGCCTTATCCTGAGCAAGATAAATCCAGTAATATCACCCCATCTAATCTAGGAGCCATTTTAATATTATCCACCCACCTAATTCTTCATCTTCCTAGTGGTCTCTTTCTATCCGGCTTTCTCACCAATATGGCTCTTTGTTACATTTCGTAACAAGCTTATTTTTTTAAGTGAGGAGTTATTAGCCCCATGCACAATCCCCAAGCTGGAGGACTACCTCTTGTCTGCTGTCCGTAACTGCATATTCAATTTAGTCGCCGTCTCCTCCATCGCAACCTGAGAACGTGCCGCGCTGTGTGACGAGGGACCCACTTAACGTGGACACGCCTATATTGTTAGGTCTAGTTAGATGAACCTCAAGGTTCAGGCTATTCACAGCAAATAATTAAATTGATCTACCCCACTCTTTCTTAATCAAGCCATGTCTGATCTTCCTGCTGACTTACAAGAGTATGTATAACTGTGTTAGGATCTCAGTCATATTCTTCGTATGCCTTCTGACATTTCCTTTCATATTGTCGAATCTCTTCCAACTAACCCACAAACCAACCAAGCACATAAAACAGAGTACATTTTTAAACTATTTTAATGTTATCTCTGGTCTAGAACACCGAGATTAAAGGCATTGGGGATCCGTTGCGCTGACCACGCGACACCCTCTATCCTCAAAAGTTGGCACTAACTTCGCCGACAAGCGGCGGTCGCTCGGTCGGTATAGTTCGCTTGCGGACTACAGGTCATGTAGTGTGTTTTTATTTAATATTATCTTCCCATCCACTCCTAGGTAGGCCCTGTAGTTCTGGGTTCTTCCGTACAACATTTTCACGAATTTATCCCCTCCCCCCCATTTGTGTTATGTCTCCTACACATCTGACCCTTGATTTCATCTAAGGAACTCCACGGAGCAGACTCGTTCTTGAGGAGTTTCTAGTCGCTCTGCTGCTTAAGCATAGTTTGCCTTTACATAAGCAGATCTTGCCTCCGAACCCTAAACTGAGCCAGATGAACCCGGTCCACATTCTCACATCTTATTTTTAAGGCAAATTTAATTAAGCCTGTAATTATTATTGTTATTATTATGAGGGACAGCATAAGAATGGATCATAAAGTCATTGTATGTAAATGTGTGGAGTGGATTCAACTGCCTCATGATGGGGACCTATGGCAGTTTCTTGTGAAAACGATAATAAACTTTGTGGTTACATGAAAGGCAGGGGATTTCTTAATAGGCTGAAGGACCAGCAGCTTCTCAAGGAACTTCTACTTCATGGAGATGATTTGTTAGATATTTTGCCTTTCATTTGTGCATTGTTATCACGTGACTACAAAATTAGGAGCGTCATAACTTGCACTCTTCGCCAAGTATAATTAGAATGATCAAGTCAAGGAGGGTGATATGGGCAGGGCATGTAGATCGAATGGGAGAGAAGAGTGATGCATATACGATATTGGTGGGGAAGCCAGAAGGAAAAAGACCACTAAGAAGACAAAGACATATGTGGGTGGACAATGTTAAGATGGACTTTATAGAGATAAGATGGGATGGTATGGACTGGATCGATCTGGCTCAGGATAGGGCCAGTGGATAGCTGTTGTGAACACGGTAATGAACCTTCGGGTTCCATAAAACGCTGGGAAATTCTTGAGTAGCTGCACAACTGGCGGCTTCTCAAGAAGGGTTAAGCTCCAGGAGTAAGTGACCGATTTTTGTTACAACCAATTTAAACTTTCTGGACGAGAGAACCACAGAATTAAGCCCACTTCATTATTATGCAGTACAATATGATATCTATACATTTCTGTGTCGGTAACTGGTGAAGACGCATTGCCGACCGGCCCCGATTTTTGATCAGAGAGTACCCACCGAAATGCACTCGAGCTCAAGTGGCAGAGCGTGACCTTCTGAGCCCACGCGGTTCAGATCCCACTCGCTTCAATTCGAAAAGAAAACATTCTTAGGTTACAAGGAAATTCTGTGTCAACTGCGTGTGTTTTATAGTGTTCAATGGGATACATGAGGCTGTTTGTGAACTGAGACAATATTTTGTATTGATCTGATATTTGGACTGCATTTGAGGGAAGATCTTAACTCGAAGATGTTTGAGAACAAAATGCTGATGGGTAGAATATTCGAAACTAAGAAAGATGAAGCATAGGGCGAAAGTTAAGGGACACTGCGCATGTCTGAAGACAGAGTTAGACTGAGCTTGTGGAAGCTACGAGTAGTTACGAAAGTTTGAAGAGCAATGAGGTGACATGGAGGAGACTTACGTGTAAATGACGAGGTTTTGTAGTAACGTAATGAATCTTCAGATGTCTTCAGATGTGAGTACAGGAAGAAACGGAGAAGGAAGTGGAGAACGAAGGGAAATTATATAATAGTAAGAAATAATATCATTAAAAAGAGAAAGTCAGATAAAGATATCGTGACATGTAGACCCATTTCTAGGCAACGCCTGAAATACGCGAAAGCAATAATAGAAAAAGGATTGCAAGAAATGTTTTCTATATGTCCGCGACATGCCCATAATTAGGCAACATTCTCTCAGAAAGAAACGTGAGGAATAATAGATCTATTGTTAGGCAAAGGCGAGGTAAACAGGCTTTTTCAACAATACAAGCTGTATTTTCCGTGGGGTCCGTGCAAAGTTGATATAAGACACTCGATTTCAGAAGTTGACGTAGAGCGGGATCGAGAATGGAGCGAGTCCTCGACAGGCAAGGAAGAAGGGTTCGGCTGAAGAGCGATTGCGAGTGATTAAGGGAGATTGTACAAGAAGGTGTCAATAAATCCAATCATCCAAACCAGAACCCGTTATTATTATTAATCACGGAGCCATAAACACGTAACAATATAAAAGAAGGAAGAGTAAGTAAAGGCTGAAGAGAGAAGAAATAAAGAAAAGTTGAGGCAGGAAAGAGAAAAAAGAAGAACGAAGAATACATAGAAGAAACAGGAAAAGAAACGAAGAATATGTAGCAGGAACGAATGCTGTAACTGTGACGTCATCATTAGCCTCCTGTCCAACCAACTGCAGACACTAGTTCTCTTCTGGCCGACTGAGTTACTTCAAGTACTTCACAGTGATGGCGCAGTGACAACCAACTTTGTGGTTGCCTATCTAATAGGTGCATAATAAAATACCAGACTATGAATGCCTATGGGCATTAGATGGACATGAGGGATAAACTTCACGTTTCGTCCGCTTCACCCATTGCGAAAAAGCCCGAGGTACCTACCACATAGGAGGCTGGTTGGATTCCAGTGCCGGTCTGGACGGTATGGAGAATAGAAAAATCTCTTATTCCTACCAGGAATCGAAAAACGTTTCCTGAGTTATCCATTGTTACGGGTTGGACGGCTGGTGCCAACTGGATATGAGGCTGGGTGTGCCCCAGGGCCGGTCTGAGGGCCGTGGGGAAGAAATAAATTTCTTACCTCTGCCGGGAATAATAGCCCCACAACCTCCAGCCAAATTGCGCCTCTGTCTCCCAAAGGAGTCAACGAATCTGATTTACAGAGGCTGTCTATCTATGGTTCTGCAGACCTTGTGGATCTTGGTCGCTTTTTCACTTTCTTAGTCTATACATAGTCAGTAGGATTCCTTAGACGGGGAATCAGCCGTCGCAAGGCCGCTGCCTACACACAGAAGAAGACAAACAGAGTAAACGCACACAGACATTCATGCTTTTAATTGGATACGAACTCACGATCCCAGCGTTCGAGCGGGCGAAGACGGTTCATGCCTTAGACTGCACGGCGACTTACAGTGACTACCATGACAAAACCGCTCTACGTCGAAGGCCGCTTGTGATGTTTCATTGCATGCTAACGTTTCTATGGCGAGAAGTAGTTATCAGCGCACAACCTCCAAATTGGTGGACCACCCATTTTCGTTTTCATGCGCTTACCTTCCGTGTACGGAGACCGTCTTCCGTAACCACGATCCGAAGACGCGCCGTTCCCTCCTGATGAAGGACTCAGCCTCTTAACATACCACTTCCACTTGATCCACTACAAATCCCTAAGAACTACGCACTCTTAACTAAATAATTTAAAATTATTACTTAAGATCTAAAAATAATTCGTTATGTGAGTAATTAAATGTCCAATAAGTGAACTGTTATGACCTTAGGAGATTTTAGGTTATCACGGCGGTGAGAATTATGGTCACGATCTTACGGAATGTGGCTGACTGCAGCCATATTTTAACTTTCATCTGGTAAATTTCATAGTTACAAAATTAGCTATTGCCGGTTTAACCAGCTGTAAAATTGAACCAGTCTTGCAGACAGAATTTATTTATGAGGTTTTTCATTACTCTCAAAATATACAGTGATTGTTTGTCTAAACAGCATTAACCGAGTTATCTTTGTAATAAAGGCACATTATGTTTTCTGCATCGTAGGAACTAAATCTTTATAATACTTAGATGAATTATATATTACAAATAAAATATTAAAATTAATATATATTTAATATATTTAGAACTTAGGAAGTTCTCTTCACTGTTTTGGGAATAAAGATAAATGTTTCCGAAACAAATTTCAAAGCCCCGTACAAGTATGTACGAACTCACCGGCTCTGTCGACTGCAACCTCTCGCTGGCCAGAGATCTTCCGGTCTGAAGACACCAACGTATGTTCTGCCTCTTTATATAAGGGCAATACCAGTCATGTCTCATCTGTGTTGTCATAGTGATTTGTATCTCTGCAGACAGATCTACAGCAGGGAGCAGGGGCTCAGATGCGGGCCTCCAAGCCTGTAGCGATAACAGCAGGCCTAAATAGGCATATACGGAAAACTTGCTCTTCTTGTGCATTGTTTGGACTGATATGAAATTAACTTACGCTGATCTGTCCGTCCACATGTTCAAGTCCTAAGCTACCGAAAGGATTTTGTTTATAATGCAGATATGCTTATTGATGGTTCGGAGTTTTTCTATGGAAATTCTTGCTCCAGCCGTTAGTAACAGTCTCTGATCTATACGAAACTTGAATACCATTTTTTAAATTTTCAAGAAAAGCGATTTAGCTGCCAAATAAATTTATAGACATAAATGACAAAAATAAGACCTATAATTATAGTCAATTATGGTCAATTCTTGTATGAAATAAGAATTATAATTCTAATTTCATACAAGAATTGACCATCAGGAAGGTCCAGGGAAACCAGGTGGGACTGAAATGAAACGGGACACATCAGCTGTTGGTCTATGCTGATGATGTGAATCTACTGGGTGATAACATAGATACCATAGATACCATAAAGAAAAACACAGAACAGTCAACTGATGCTAGCAAGGAGTTTTCTTCTAAAAGTAAACGCAGAGAAAACTAAATATATGTTGCCGTCTCGTCAACAAAATTCAGTGCAAAACCATGCCACAAATATAAGTGAGAGATGTTTTGAAAATGTAACACGGTTCAAATATTTGGGGACCAAAGTAACAAATCAAAATTTGATTCAGAAGGAAATCAAGAGGAGACTGAACTCGGGTAATGCTTGCTACCATTCAGTCCAGAACCTTTTGTCTTCTCGTCTGCTGTCTGTATAATAATACATAATATATCAATGTCTCTACAGACACTTCATTGAGTCCTGGCTACTTCTTCAGTTCCACAATCTTTTTTACACAGATAATACGACTCCTTGGGCAAGTGATAGCCCGCCCAAAGGACTACACACAGGACAACACAAACACAGATATCCACGCACGATATTCAAACGCACGATCCCAGCGTTCGTGCGAGCGAAAACAGTTCATGCTTTAGAACGCGTGGCCACCGTGATCGGCCGTCTGCTGTCTAAAAGCATAATTGTCAGAATGTAAAAACTATAATTTTGTCTGTGGTTCTGTATGGATGTGAAACTTGATCTCTGATATTAACGGAGGAACATAGACTGAGGGTGTTTGAGAATAGGGTGCTGAGAAGAATATCCGGACCGAAGGGGGTGAAATGACAGTAAATGGAGAAAACTGCATAATGAGGAGCTTCATAACTTGTACTTTTCTCCAGTTATAACTACAATGACTAAGTCAAGGAGGATGAGATGGGCAGGGCATATAGCACGAATTGGGAGTAGAGGAATTCATACAGGATACTGGTGGGGAAGCCAGAAGGAAAGAGACCATTAGGAAGATCAAGATGTAGGTGGGTGGGAAATATTAAAATAAATCTTAGAGCGAGAAGATTGGGTGGTATGGACTGGATTCATGTACTCAGGACAGGGCCAGTGGATGGCTTTTGTGAACACGGTAATGAACTTTCGAATTCCATAAAATATTGAAACATTCTTGAGTAGCTACGCAACTGACTACCTCTCAAGAAGGGCTCAGCTCCATGGAGTTGGGTAGCCACAAGTTTTGACCTAAATACGTAGCTAATTGTTAACTAGCACCTTCTTTGCCACAAGAATTAGAATTTAGATTACTCTAAACTAAACTCCGTGGCTTGAGTCTGCAAGCGAACTATACCCACCGCCGTTTGTCCGCGAAGTTAGTGCCAACTTTAGAGGATAGAGGATGTCACGTGGTAAATCCAACGGATCCCCACGGCCGTTAATCTCGGTTTTCTAGACCGGAGCCGCTATTTCCTTGAAACAGCCCCTCAATTATCCCCATGAGACTGAGTGGACCCCGTTCCAGACCCACTACTTCTGCCACAAGAGAGGGGGGAGATGGAGAAGAACAAATGAATATTAAACCCTTGCAGGAACCAAAATTCGCACAGAATGAATTTGACGGATACATTTAGTCCATTGGAATGTAATTTCCAGTTCGTTTAATTTCGCTTCTGACAGGGAATCTCATGTACTCAGACATGCCCTTGTGCATCTGCGGGTACATTCGTTCGTATGTGTCCCGTCATTGGATTTTCTTCAATTTACCTAATCCTTTCAGCCTCACTACGGCCTTAGGTTCGACTCAGTCTCTAACAGAAATGAGTACCAGGAATCTTCCTGGGGCGGGTAAAGCGCGGCCGGAGCGTAAGGCTGACAACCTCACTGCCACCTCTGAGCCGATTGTCTATAAAATGTGAGAGCCTCGACGTCTCAAAACCCTATGGGTCTCCCCGGCCTCTTACAGGGATAGTTTCTCTTTTTTAAATTGGCTTAGTAGGGGATGGAGTCCAGCTGGCTCCACTCGGCACGGCGGCCACTGATTGGCCTATTGTAGCCTGCTCCGGGTGATTATGATGATGGAGAATTTGGTGGAAACCGAAGTACTCGGAGAAAACCCGCCCCAGCATTACTTTGTCCACCACAAATCCCACTTGACCAGACCCCGGGATCGAACCCTGGCCGCCGCGGTGGGAAGCCAGCGACTAACGCTAGAGCCATGGCGCGGCCCTGGGATACCTTTACCTTATTATCATCCTTTCCTCTGTTTGACAATATCTTGACTATCGCTGCTGTCAAGACCGTAAATAAATAAATTATGATCAGTAGTAGTGGCATCAGAGCTTCAGGCATGCAGCGGGAACTCGGAAGGGACGGTGCAGTGCGCCTTGCCTCGTGCCTCGTCACCTGTTCGTGTCAATGGTCGCGTAAACATGGCTGCGCTGTAGTGGCGGTTCCGCTCAAGAGGGGCACAAGTTGAAGGCCCCAGAAGATTGCATCCGTTTGAGCGTAAGTAAAACAGAGCCAAACCAGGGAAAGGAAGATTCTTAATTGGCATCCTTTCATTTCTACCAAGAAAGCAGAAGCATGTAAGCCCGCCAGTGTCAGGTCTCTCATATTTTCATGAAACGTGTTATAAATACAGGCATGATGTCAATAGAGGCCACAAGCAGGTAAAATTGTTCCTGTGTTCAAATGATTAAGCACTAGGCCATGAAGGGGTATGGGGGAGTGGATGAATAGATCCACAATTTCTTTACCTAGACACTAGCTGGTGGTGAGTGGTCAGCTTCACGCCCCGGTCGCTTTACCCCCAGCGAAAGCGCCTCCCTTACCCAATGGATATGAGGCTGGGTGGTCCCCAGAATCGGTCTGGACAACATTAAGAGGAGAAAAATCTTTCCCCTATCAGGATTCGAACTCAAACCCCTCGGCCATCCAACCTGTAGTGCTATTCCGGTTCTCGTAGGCGTCACAGTATCTTTGCATTTCATACGGTGATATATATGTTCGACATACGCACAATTGTCATTGAAATTACCTTTTTGTTAATGTGAAATAATAGGACAATTGCTGTCCGAAAATATACAGTTTACTTTGTTTTATTATTATTATTATTATTATTATTATTATTATTATTATAAATTTATCTAGGCATGCGAAGTTTGGTTCTCAGCTCCATATAGTGTCGAAGTCACGAATGATGGAGCTATACATCCACTCCCCTATACGTCTTCATGTCATAGTTCTTAATTAATGAAACACAGGAACACTTTACATTCTCTTTATCTTTTATGTGAATTTTGGTCTGAAGATCCCTACCCATTTTATGAGCCTTTTTAATGCGTCAAAAATGAAATGTAACGCGATGAGCCGGAAGTTTGAGGCTATGTTCAACAAATTTAAGCAGTAGATAATTTGCAATAGTGAAAGTTATGCACAGAGATGGCTCGCCATATTAACACACCGCTGTTCCCTGTCACAGTAAGACTGCGCTTCCTATGAGCCTATGGGATTACTAAAAATGTTATTTTGGGCGTATAATTGTAAAATCACAAGACTCGAATGAAACTAATCTTACTTCCTAATTTACTAAGCAGATTCACTGTACTTACCAAAATTTCAGGATGGTAATTCATTTTCTTTACAAAAATTGGCAGCCCTTAATTGTTACAAAGCAACATTTCGAAGCCCAATGGACACTGGTCTCGGAATATAAACGCGATAAACATACAGAAACGCAATACGAAGCCTTTAGTTTCCTAACTTTCGAACCAGAGGTCTCTGCTGGACTTAGAAGCTCCATACGTGTCACTGCGGAATCCCCTTTCTTATCAGATACTATGGAAAGCAAGTATTAAAAGATTTTCGTAGAACTTCTTTCTTTCATTTGATGTAATTTGAAACAGTTGAAAATTTACATGAGTCAGAGAGACATAATCCTATTTTCTGCCGAAGCCATGACAGCTTACGTAATCGGTACATTTTACGCAGGTTGACAGGTGTCTCCCTCAGTGCTAGAGTTTGTTGACTTATCGTGAAGTCACATACGATCAGGCTGCAGGTGATCCATAGGCTGCTCACGTATACAGAGCAGCCATCTCACGACAGGCAATAAAAACTCAGAAACAAGCCAATTAGTTCGTCACGAAATGTACTAACAAAGGCAGCTCTAGGCGCATCTGCAATAATGACGAGGCTGCCACAATTGCATTGTACTCTGAAACCTGTATATTTGCCTGAAAACATGTTCATACAGGGATTCTTTCTACATTCCATCCAGCACTCTATGAAGCCTTTCGAACGTTTAATAAATCCTGTTTTAAAAAGGCGAATTTACCCCTGCTACAGGCCTTGAAGGACCATAGGGTTATAAGACGTCGAGGATCCCACATTTTCTAGACAATCGGCTCACAGATGGCGGTGAGGTTGTCAGCCTTACACACCGACCGCCCTTTACTCCCAGGAAGACTCCTGGTACTCATTTCTGTTAGAGGCTGAGTTGAACCTAAGGCCGTAGTGCGGCTGAAAGGATCATGTGAATTCAAAAAAATCCAATGACATTATCGGAAACCAAAACCCCGACCTTCTGACTATTAGCATTCTGCCTCAACCAGCTACGCTAAGGCGTGTCCCCATAAATCCTATTTAAACCAAAATAAAGTACTTGTACATATTGGGGTCTTGTACCCTGATGATGGAAGGAGAAATTTCCTCCGAAATGTTAGTATCATCAACTAGGCTACACGTTATCACATACCAGGGGTTGGTAGAGACAGTGTCACGTAACTTCGAACTCTTGGCGCTCTTGGCCTTGTTCGAAGTTACGTGACACTTGCTATAGCGTTATGTACAATATTAAAAGAGAGCCAGTGAATTGCATTTTGAATCTTAATTAAAAAAGTTCAGGACTGAAACCAAACTCAAAGGCAAAATACGTGATGAGTTCGAGCTTTTTGTTACGTCCTCAGGTTTATCTGGCAAGGACAAATGAACATCCCATCTCCGTTGTTAATACTGAAGGATGCTAATGACTGCAACTGTACTTGAATCATAAATAATTTATTGGCATTTCTGTTCAGAAGAATCCTCGCTTCCTCATTTCACTTAGTGCTGTGTCCAAAATTGTATTACACTTACTGAGCTTTACACTGACTTTTATAAATGTTTTACACTCATTTTTTGGCAAAAATTGCAGACAGCCCAGTGCAAGTTGTTACAATTGCTAGGTAGGTGTGCCGTTTCTTCTTTGTCGCCATTTTAACGATATCCAGAATTATTCTAATTGCAATTACGACAATCTGCTTACAAGGGACTGTATCTATTTGTGCCTCTGCGAAACAACAAGACTCAGATTTTCATTGGAATACGAAGAGTTGTGGAGAAACTTGAAAATCTCTCTCAGTAATTTAATATGGTTCTTGCCAATAGATGGGTCTGAGTGTAATTTTCTACCAAGTCAATACAATATTTACAATGTATTTCTTCTCATATGGATTTAGCCCAGCGATACATTTGTTGTTTGTTACACATAAAGACGTGTTCAATAAATAAAACTTACATAGAATATTGTTGTTTTATATATCAAAATTTATGACCAGTTTTCGTACGTCAAAAGATTCCTAGCGGAATCACATTCCTTGTTTAGTGAGCTAAATTTTGTTCTGGAATTACCAAATAACCCAATACTTGATATTGAGAATGGCATTTCGGATGAATAGATCAGTATACTCACTCAGACTGATATGATTAGAGTAGTATTACAGTAAGCAGTGCATATTTTTGTAGGAATATACAACACAATTTACTTTAATGTTCCTGCTTCGGATAAGTTGCATATATATATATTTTCCCAACAGTTAACAGTAGTGTATAATACTGGTATAGGCATACAATGTATCAAGAATACTGTAATATTACACTTATTTCATATTGCTATAATTTTATAGCAGGCTGATATATGTAAAGGACTAAGCTGGCTCCATATTGACGCCATTTCTGGACACGTCTGTTGAACCGGAAACAGGGACTCTGAGAACTACTGGAAAGAGTTGAAAATCGTCATTTTTCGTTCTGCTCGCTGGATTCAAGACGACAAAGGGAGTGTGCCGGTGTCTGATGTCAAAATCTGCAAAATGAAATTCAGTTAAGAAAAGAACATAAAATCGTTTGTGTTTTATTTCGTGCTCGTTTGTTAAGACACGGCACAGAGAAGTAAGCTACACAGAGTTACCTCGAGCTCCAGCAGATGGCAGGGGGGTCGAAAGCAGTGGCGCTGTTAGTTGTCCGATTGAGGGAACCACGCGGAGCATGCTTCCGACGCAATTTCACACATAGCAGTGAGCGCCTTGCCCGCTCCATCGTAATCTGAAACTGAGATCAGGGTTTCTGATTATAGCGGGTAACATTTAAATTGAAAATAAAACCCAGTTTGTGTAACTTGGATTTGATTTTTCTTCCATATTAGAATCGGATGGTGTTTTGTCGGTCCTAACCAGATCATAAACTGAGAGAATTTTTAAAGGATCGATTTTGTTTTCATAGTGTGATGTATTTGCGCTATGCAGGACACCCCCTACCCCGCCAGCGGCGACGTAACACCTTCGGAGTATTTGTGATACTGCCGATGGCAGTAATTGTGTAATTGTAAATTGTGTGACTGTAAGAGCGAATTGCAATAAAATTCGCTATATCCACTAAGGCGTGAAGTTATTTGTCGCGTGACATACACACAACACGTGACAATATTAAGAAATATAGTTACCCCTACATACTTTTAAAGAGTTATGAGTCGGTAATAGAAGCAACCTGTCCTTATCGAAGACGATTATCGTATACACGTTAAGGTCTGTGCATGATTATCTTCATATTTCGGGGATAAGTCTCCAGTTGCAGCAAATGCAGAGTCACGAAATCTTCACAAATAATATAATTCAGCTTGGAAACTGTTGAAGCTATCTTTTTAAACAGTACCACATTGAGCTGGCTTTGTTTTAATTTTGTATTCAGCGAAATCTATTTCTGAGAGCTGTTGAGGCGGTTCAGCGAAGTATCAGATGTGTTCAGGTAGCGTGTAGCTAAGCATAACCACACGTCCTCTTGTTAATAGCTTTACATAACAGAAAACTGAAGCCTTTTATCCGTTTCTATTAATATAAAATATTTATCACTGAAATAAGTACAGCCACTAATCAAAACACAGTGCTTTCCGTGCTAGTTCTTACAGCCCGGAGTTTCCCTCTGGTGTGGGAAGTTCGCATTCTTCTGGTCCAGTGCATAGGCCGATTTATGGGGCCTTTCCCTAGGCGATGCTACAACCGGAAGTAGCAGAAGAGGCGTGTGATATATTCATAAGTATTTAAAAAACTGAATTTAATCTGTCAAAGGTGTGTTTTATAATAAATAATCAATTATATTATGTCAGTAGAGCTTATTTAAAAGAAAATATGGACAAAAAAGGTATGTAACTAATTTATTTGTATAAACCTTTCAATTAATTTGCTATCAAGCTGAATGAGCAGTTAGAGATAAGCAATAGCAGATAATACATCTGGAAACCCTGTTCTCTAAAGGTAAATCTTTCCCAATTTTAGAGGCTTAAATGACATAAAACTTGCTTAATTGAAATGGGAGTTATAAGTCACCTGCAGCGTTGCCTCGCTTTCCAAAAATACTTCCGTTAAAAGGAGGTTTTCTATAGGTTGCGGTAGCCATTTCAGCCAGCAGGAGCACGGCCAGCAGAAGCAGACATGTTGCAACACTTTGCTTTTGCATTGTTGTGGATTTGGTTGAGCCCAAGGGTCTGCAAATAAACAAGCAGTGACATCTACAGCACCTGAAATGAAACTCAGCCGCCAGCCAAGTGTCGGATCCGAGAGGTGGACGCCCGAGGGTGTGATAAGATTTCCTGGACAACGTCTCACATTTCAGGGGATGCCGACAGACACGTACGGAACAAAAGCGGGGAATGACTATCAGTAGGGGAAAACGGAATAAAATCGGGAAAACCCTGCTACAGTGTCACTTCATCCATCACGAATTTCATATGATGTCAACAGGGAATGAACCCAAGGCTCCGATGTGAAAGTCAGAGTCACAGCTTTTTATTTGTGTTATGATTTAGTCATGTTTCTTATACCCCTGAAGCTATCCCTGTAACAGGTCGTGAAGGCCCATAGGGTTGTGAGGTGTTGAGGCTCCCACATTTTCTCTATATAATCGGCTCACAGATGGCGGTGAGGTTGTCAGCCTTACGCACCGGCCACCCTTTACCCTCCAGGAAGATTCTTGGTACTCATTTCTGATAGAGGCTGAGTCGACCCTAGGGCCATAGTGCGGCTAGAAGGATTAGGTAAATCGAAAATTGCACTTCATCGAGACTCGAACCCGAGACCTTCCAGTTTGTAGCATAGTAACTCAACCAACTAAACTACCGGAGCATTTAATAACAGTTTTCATTTCAAATATGTCCATTCCTAAATAAATACAAGTTCTGTTTAATGTTTGCCTTATGAATAGCAGCTATACTTTTTAAATAGTTGAAGATCAATTGTCACCCAAATCACCACTGGATGCAGAGATACTTGAGATACATTGCCTTTTCCATGACACACTAACCAAGACCTGTCTGTTCACAAAACTCATGTTCTCATTAATGGATAGATTGACTGGCTTCAAGACAGAATCAGACTAACAGTGAAAGTAAATACACGTATAGCAGGGGCTAACCGACCAACATAGCGCACTCGCGGGTGCAGATGTCTCTTCAGAAGCAGACAGACACTCCAGATGAGAACAAGAACCTAGGAAATCACCAGCATGTTGTAGCTGTTTAAAATCATAAGCGTATATTCGATCGTTTGTTGAAATTTTGATTTATTAATTGGGCTCGAAGTACGCGAGTCTGTCCCGGAACCTGGAATTCTTTTGTGGGGTTTGCAGTCACGGATCTGAGCACAAGGCAAGTTCCGTCACTGGAAGTTAGGTCCAGAGGGGCTCAGCCGGTGGGGTAGTTCCTGGGGCTGATGGCTTCCAGACGTGGAAATGCATTATTTAACATGACGTGACTTTCGTTGGTTCCAACAAGAATGCCTACATTCGATGTAAGGGCAAGGAACTCTGTTAGAATCCAGCCAATTGGCAATGAGGTACTCGTGTTAACGTCAGACGCCTCTTCTTGGAGGGCTGATGCGTCGCTTGTAGAAGTCACCTCCGGGGATATTTGTTTCGACTTCACAAGGCAACGGAGGGGTTTGGCGACACCGGAAAATTCATTCCAATAAATGAATACCCTTGTGTTGGTTAAACTGACGCGAGTTGGGAAGGGACCAACTTCATGTCTTTGGGCCTTACCGCTTCTGCGAATTAAGTTTTTCTGTGTTAAAATAGTACAGACCGGTGAATTGAAATAAATGCACTTTATCGTCAAACTAATCAGTGTGGCTTTTTGCATGGCGTATGGCCTGCGTATTTCCAATTAATGCGACCTTAGAGATAGAATCAGCATACCCTTTACAGCCCCAGTGGGCCTAGGCCTACCTCCATGAACTCCGTTCACTTCGGTTTTTCTAGATCTTACACATTCGGTAGGACTCCTTGGGCGAGTGATCAGCTCGTCGCAAGGCCTCTACCTGTAGACAAACACAGAAAAACGCACACAAACATCCATGCCCTGAGTGGGATTCGAACCCACGGTCCCGGCTTCCGAGCGAGCGAAGACAGTGCATGCCTCAGACCGCTGGGCTACCGTGACCGGCGAATCATACACTTACCTGCCGAGTTACCTAATGCAGGTAAAGGTAAAGCTCTACCTGTAACAGGCCGTGGAGACGCATATGGTTGTGAGACGTCGAGGCTCTCACATTATCTAGACAATCGGCTCACAGATGGCGGAAAAGTTTTCAGACTTAAGCTCCGGCCGCCCTTAACCCCCCTAGGAAGATTACTGATACTCATTTCTGTTAGAGGCTGAGTCGACCCCAGGGCCATAGTGCGGCTGGAATGATTAAGTAAATTGAAAAACAAATCCACTACATTGGGACTCGAACCCGCGACCCTCCGGCTCGAACATAGCGCCTCGACGAACTACGCTACCGTGTGTTCTCTTGGATTGACTGTAACAAATAATATTTTATTCGTGTGGAAATGAAGAGCAGATCAAATGCATCTAATGCTTGCTGGTATTCACGTCAGGACATCACAATATTGCCGCTCACAATGGCCTCAAGTCTAAGGCATGAAGAGTCTTCACCCTCTCGAACACTCAGATCGTGAGTTCGAATCCCACTCGAGGCATGGATGTCTGTGTGTAGGTAGCGGCGATCCCCCGTCCAAGGAATCCCACTGACTGTACATAAATTAAAGAAACTGAAAAAGCGACCAAGGCCCAACACAGGGCAGTAGAGTGACAGAGAACAGGGAGCTCAGAGCAGGCTCCGCTGTACGCGGTTCCGGTTCTATAAAAGCGCAGAATTCTGAAGCAGCTATTGGCTTATTAAGAACTTCTTACAATTATATATACAAAATGTATGTATTTTTCTCAACCGTTTATGAGCTGTGATGGTACACAATCAGAATCCCCCCCCCAAATGCTGTGGTGTGAAGTGCCTCCGTCCGTCTCTCCAATCTGAGTTATATGGCCCACAGAGTATTTATCACGGTCACAGCACAACGTGTATGTGAAAGCAAGAAGGGCATAAGGAACAAGAAACAAAAATAAGCCCTGCTTGTGTACATCTAACTGTAAGCGCAAAAAAACATAAGGGGAATATCCCACTTTCCCAGTCGCTGTAAGTGATAATGGCCACTTGTCTCTGCGATGAAAGTAAACAGGAAAGCGCAACATAATCGCCGATAGAAAACAGACGGGGTTCGCTGTGTCCGTTGCTAAGCAACCTCACATCTCTCCCCACGTGTCAGTTCTGCAGCATCTCGCGAAATACTTCGGCAATAATAACTGAGGCTAAGGGGGCACGTGCTAGCGCAGTTTGTTGAGGCACCATGCTGAAATCCGGAAGATCGCGGGTGCGATTCCCGATGAGGTCACTGGATTTTTCAATTGACCTAATCCTTCCAGCCGCACTTTGGCCCTGGGATCGACTCAGCCTCTAACAGAAATGAGTACCAGGTATATTCCTGGGGGGTAAAGGGCGGGCGGCGTGTAACGCTGACAACCTTACCGCCATCTGTGAGCCCATTTTCTAGAGAAAATGTGGGAGCCTCGATATCTCACAACCGTATGGGCCTCCAGGGCCTGTTGCTGGGATAGATTTAGCTAGCTTTTTAACTGAGACTAACAATCGATTGGAGGATAATCAACAACGAATTGGAAATGATGTGGAGGGAAGAGGTCGTGCCCTAATTTAAGGCACTATTCCGGAATTTACTTAAAGAGGCTGAAATGAAGCCACAAAATCCGCTCTCTGTCTAGCCGGTGTCTCGACTGGTATTCGAACCGGACATCTCCCGAATAGCAGTGATCATTTAGCCAACTTCATGGGTAAGACTTTCAAGACCTACCAAATTATGCCATAGGCTTTAACAGCGTTTATATAGAACTATTTGATTTTGAGAAAATCATTAGTGTACTAGGAATTACGTGGCCTGTAGTCCGCAAGCGAACTATACCGACTGAACGACCGCCGCTTGTCGGCGAAGTTAGTGCCAACTTTGGCGGATAGAGGGTATCACGTTGTCAGCGCAAAGGATTCACAAGACCGTTAATCTCGGTTATCTATACCGGAAGTGTAATAATTAAATATATGTCATTTAGGCTTTCTGAGACCTCTTGCCTTCGATCTGATAAGTAGAATTTCTGCTTAAAAGATGAGAGTGCTTCGCCACGTGAACTCAATGTACGGACGTCCTTTTATCGTCACCTGCAGCTCTACATTTGGCTGTTTCTTCTCTGAAGGTATCTTCTGACGGTACGTTTATGTGGTAACTCAAGACCTATAATTTCTGTTAAGATTGCAGTTTTGTGGGCTATGACATCGTAAAATTTTGTAGTCAGACACACACTTTCCTGAAGTAGGGGAGTTATCAGGAAAATCAAACAGTCTCCGAAACATGGGCGCCTAGCAACCAAATTGCATCTCAGAATATCATGGTCTTCACATTCACAGCCGTGAGAACCACAACTGTCATCTGTGTTGCAGAATAGCCACAAATATTTGGCGTTAAGGGAGAAACTGTCAAGAGATGGCAGCAGACGTTTCTGCCACTGAATTACTCAAGTAATATTTAACTCAAGACCACAAGGTCAGTGTTTCTAAGCGTTATATGTCATGCATAGCAAGCGAACAGTTAGAATTCATATTTATCACTGATAGACAGAGCGAAATAATGGAAGATGCAGAACTTTGCTGCAAACGGTATGATACTCACCGGATGTCAGCAATACGTGATGTTGCCCTTAGTCAAGACACAGGAGAACTGGTACTCTGCTCATTGCTGAAGCAACTGTTTATATACAGATTGAACTGCATAGCTCTCAGACAATAAGGGGATGGGTCAGGAGGGATGAAAATTTTGTTGTAGGACAAACTAAGCTTTCAGCATCCAACACTGGAGGGTGTGGGGGTGGAGGAGGAGGAAATGTTCGAACCCTGTAGGGAGAGGGGAAGAGAATGCTAATGAAAGTATCCAGCTCGTGGTATTTGGGGGGGGGCTCTTGTTGGCAGCATCCCGTCTGATGCTGATTCAATTATCGGAGTCCATTTTCTGGTTGTTCCCTATACATTCTCCCCCCACGGTGTTACATCCTCCGCAACGTAAACTCGCCTACAAATACTATAGACCTACACAATAATAATAATTACTAACATGACAAGAGAGGCCGCGCCATGGCTCAAGCGGTTAGTCGCTGGCTTCCCACCGCGGCGGCCCGGGTTCGATCCCGGGTCTGGTTAAGTGGGATTTGTGGTGGACAAATTGGCCCTGGGGCAGGTTTTCTCCGAGTACTTCGGTTTCTCCTGCCAATCTTCATTCCACCAATTGTTCCACAATCGCCCTCACCTGTCATCTGGGGCTGGTACAATAGGCCAGAAGTGGCCGCAGTACAAGGGATTTTGTTCCACTCCACTAGCATTAAAAAAAACGTGACAAGAGACACACAGATCGGTATGGTTACATTGTTAGAGACGTGTATTCGGAGACTACCTTTTTAGAATTTCAGTTGGCTTTATTTTTGTTCATGGTTTATTTAACAACGCTATCATTATATCCAACTTCAGAGGATAGAGGCTGTCGCGTGGTTAGCACAACGGTTCCCCACGGCCGTTAACCTCGGTTTTCTAGACGGGACCCGCTACTTTTCCGTTGAGGTAGCTCCTCAGTTGTTCTCACGAGACTGAGTGGACCCCGTTCCAGACCCGGTAATTCTCAGAAAATCTGGTAGGCCCGGCAATCGAACCCGGGACCTCTTGATCTATAGCCAGGAACTCTGGCCACTAGATCACAGAGGCGGTTGGCACTAACTTCGCCAACAAGCGGCGGTCAGTCGGTATAGTTTGTTTGCGGACTACAGGCCTTGGAGTTAATTTTTTGTCAATATATCGGACTGTACAGTGTGGACTGGAGCCGGGACAGTGCAGTCAATATAAAGACTAGCTACTGGCTCGAAGACCGAGGGGACGGAGTTGAGTCCAGGTGAGGTCAAGAATTTTCACTTTTCCTTGTAGTTCAGACCCGCCCTGGGTCCACCAAACCTCCTCTCCAATGGGTACCAGGGGTTCTTTCCCCCCGGGTAAGGCGGTCGGGTCGCGAAGCTGACCTTTCACCTCCAACTACTGCCGAGGTCAAGAAAACGTGGGTCTACACATCCACTCCCCTATACGCCTTCATGACGCAGTGTTTACTTATGTAGTTAAGTACATGGACAACTTGAGCTTACAGTGCCGAATGATAAAATGAGAAGTGAATGATGAATTAGAAAGTATCTGGAAGGAAGCAGCTGCTACTCAGGAATTTTCCTGGAGGACTGAGGAAAACAACAAAGAATTTCCGGTGTCTCAGGCGAGATTCAAACCGTGAACCTGAGGAATAAAAACCAGAACGAGGCTGTCTCAACTCCAGAATTTATGTAGCTTCAAGTGTTGGTAAGTAGCATTCTGTTCAGAATTGGTCTGGAAGGAGATGGATCTCGACAAATTTTGGGATGGCCGGCGAAGAGATCGAAGTTCGAAAGGTGTACCAGCGTGATCGGTCATCAGCTTTAAGCTACGGCCGCTTTATCACATGGAAAGAAGCTATAGTGCCCGTCGCTTGAATTAGTGACGTGATAAATTCCTTGAAAATCCTCGTGATTCTTGAATCGTCCGACGGTGCACGGGTGCAGTTTATTGGCTTGTAGCATAATGCAATTGCCTGTGGATCTGTGCTCTAGACCAGCTGTTCTCAAATAAACATTACCCGTTGCTGCATTTATGAATTAGGGACATGCTCTGTAGCAACATTAAAAAAATAGGCCTACAATTCTTTCACTCACTCACTCAGGGAGGTGAGTCCCCCTTGAGAAGCTGCCAATTGTGCAGCTATTCAAGAATTTCCCAGAATTGTATAGAACCCAAAGGTTCATTACCGTGTCCACAAGAACCTTCCACTGGTCCCTACCCTGAGCCTGATCAATCCAATCCATATAATCATATCTTATCTCTAAGATCCATTTTAATATTGTCCATCAACCTGCTTCTTGTTCTTCCCAGTGATCTCTTTCTTTAAGGTTTCCCCACCAATATCCTTTATGCATTCCTCTTCTCCCCTATTCGTGCTACATGCCATTCCAATCTCATTCTCCTTGACCATTCTATTACGTACAGAGGACAACACAAAATAACTCGACATACATCCATGCCTCGAACCGATATCGAAACTAAGACTCCGAGGTTTAAGCAATGAAAGCCCTAAGCGTCTAGCTTAAATCATAATAACCTACGAGTAAATAAGACCTTTAATACAGGTTTCCTCTATCAGCGATTGGACTTTCAATCCGACATTATTCGCTGTCCTGAGCTTCGCGTGCTAAAACCCACTGCAGGATTAATGTCCCTCTGAGCGGTAAGGTAAGGGGCACTTAAAGGGATCGCATTTTGGGGAGACAGAGACTTGAGACATTCTTCCAGCGTTCATATTAAAATTAATTCTGATTGTACGCAGTAAAACCTCCGATTCAACTCATCTCGGCTGCTCATAACCAAGTCCACTTCTTAAAAGTTTACCCCTTTTCACTTCCCTAAGCTTTACCCTTTCTCATTTTACTTCTTCCAGAAAGACGAGCTGATACTGCCTGGGAACCTATCAAATTTGAGCAAAAACAAAATTTGTCTTGTCCGCCCCCCCAATTTCCTCTTCTCTCTCTCAGAAAAGAGTTGGAACAGTAGTCTATTTTACCCCGTAACAGACTATCTTGTGGTGAGGAGGGGCCCAGGGATGGGGGTCACCTGTGCATTGTGTATAAAAACTTTTAACAGAATTCGAGATTCAGTAAAAATCCGAACAAGCAATAATGCTGGCTGCGCCATATTGGTCCCAAAGTAATTGACACAAATTGGAACGGAATGGTTAAAAAAAATGTCAAAGTGGGAGAAAAATCTTGTTATGCATCGGAAATGTGGCATCAGGGCAATTAGATCCTCGCTGTCCACACGGCGAAGTGTCTCTCATAAACAGCAGGCTGTGTGGGAGTCTTGGGGGGGGGGAGGCTTAAAACGTTTTGTACGTCCGAGTCGGAAACGAAAAAAACGAAACGGTGTATGGGCTGTTCTAGGAGTACTAGCTCAAGCGGTTAGTCGCTGGCTTCTCAACGCGGCGGCCCGGGTTCGATCCCGGGTCTGATCAAGCGGGATTTGTGGTGGACAGAGTGGCGCTGGGGTAGTTTTTCTCCGAGTACTTCGGTTTCCCCTGCCGATCTTCATTACACCAATTGCTTCACAATCACCCTCACCTATCATCTGGGGCTGGTACAATAGGCCAGAAGTGGCCGCAGTACAAGGGACTTAGTCCCAACCCACTAGCAATAAAAAAAAAGGTCCCACTTTGAGTCCTCATTCAAATCTCTCCAACAATTGTAGCCCAGTTTTGACGCGACTGATTGAATGTCACTGTCGGGCGGAGGTCTCGTATTTGGGTGGTCCTGGGGTCAAATCTGTGCCCGGATACCGGCCATCCTGACTGAGGGTCTTCGCGGTTTTCTTCAGTCTCTATAGGCATATCCTGGGATAGTATTTCAAATTAGGCCAAGACCACTTCCATTCCACTTTATTAACCATATCATCGCTCGACGTCGCCATTAAGTAAACCGTAAATTAATAAACTAAGCCGGCGGATCCCCATGGAGGACTTCAATACAAATTTGTTTTTCAACAATTTAACAATAGATGGACATCATGACTTGCACTCCTCGCCAAGTATTTTTACAATAATTAGTTCAAGAAGGATGAGATGGGCAGGGAATGTAGCACGCATGGAAGAGAAGATTACATATAGGGTTGTTACGAAAACCCGAAAGAAAAAGACTCCTAGGAAGACCTGTACGTAGATGAAAATTTATCAAAATAAATCTTAAATAAATATTATGATAGTATGGATTGGATTCATCTGACTCAGGATATGGACCAGTGACGAGTCTTGCTAATACAGCAATGAACTTTCTTGTTCCATAAATTTCTGTGAATTTCTAGGGTGACTGCGTAACACTCAGCTTCTCACGGACTCAGCTCTACGCAGGCAACAAATAGTCACCGCTTGAAATTAACAACCGAACGCATTTTATAGGACTACCGAGAAATAGGCCAATTTACGGCGTCATAAATATTTCAGACAAAATTTGTGTACAGAGGCGCAGTCAGGTTCGGGGGATTTTGCATTCCTACAAAAAGTCATATCTCTCGAAAGAGCATTTTTCTAAGACTATTCTTATATATACAATATATATTGTAGGAACCTGTTGCTCATTTATTATTCTACAGAAGTTCCTGCTTCACGTCTCGGATGACACGCACGCACACACACAAACACACACACTAGTCCTCTGCTGGAAATGCAATTAAAATATAGGAATAGCGCTGCAAATCATTCCAAATATTACACATGAATATAGTCTCCAAATCACACGCACAAGCAATGCGTCTTTTAACTCTTATTTAAAAGCTTCTGTACATTGAAAAATACATATTTCGACCGACATTGGTCATCATCATGCGTTTAAAATTGTTGGTTGAAACTGCTGTGCTTCCGTTTTGTGATGTCGGCCGGCGCTTGACGCTGATCATTCATCTCCAGCAAGTGCAGCAGTCTAGAATTGTGGAGCTATGCCTCTACTCATGAGCCGGGAAAGCGACTGTATGCGGGCTGGACGACCGAGGGGTCGGAGTTCGAGTCCCGATAACTTCAAGAATTTTCTCATCGCCACTTCGTCTAGACCCGCTCTTGG